CTACTACTACTACGACTACTACTACTACTACTACTACTACTACTACTACTACTACTACTACTACTACTACCACTACTACTACGACGACGACGACTACTACTACTACTACTACTACTACTACTACTACTACTACTACTCGTACCCCTACCCCTGCTCGTACTCCACATCCTACTCCTACTCCGCCCTATTCCCCTCCTCTGCTGTCAATCCGCCTCCCTCCTCTGACTCCCTCCTCCTGCTCCCTTTTGAAATCCTCACCCTCCCCTCTCCTTCTCCCTCCTCTCTCCTCCCTCCTCTCTCTCCTCCTCCCTCCTCTCTCCTCCCTCCTCGCTCCTCCTCCTCCTGCTCACCCTCCTCCTCCTCCTCCTCCTCCTCCTGCTCATCCTCCTCCTGCTCCTCCTCCTCCTCCTTCTCCTGCTCCTCCTCCTCCTCCTGCTCCTCCTCCTCCTGCTCCTCCTCCTCCTCCTTCCCCCTCCTCCTCCTCCTCCTCCTCCTCCTCCTCTTCCTCCTCCTCCTTCTCCACTCTTCCCTTCTCCTTCCTAGTTCTTCTCCTCCTCCCCCTCCTTCTTTTGCTCTTCCTTTTCATCCTCTATCGTCTGACGACGATGACGTCAACGTCGACGACGCAGACAATGACCAGACGGGGCCAGCAGGCCGTCGGGATACTTCGGCCCGTGCGGGTCTGGCTGGCTCGTGGTCGGGACTGACGACGGGTCCTCCGTGGGCTGCGTGGGGGGTCGTCTTCGACGCCGTCGCCGACGGAGGAGGAGGAGGAAGAGCAGCGGCAGCAGATAGGGGGAACGAGAAGGGAGGCGGTGGATGAGAGTGGAGAAGGGGGGGGGGGTAGGAGGTGGTCCTCCTCCTCCTCCTCCTCCTCCTCCTCCTCCTCCTCCTCCTCCTCCTCCTCCTTCACTACGGTGGACTGCGAGCCAGAGCCAGGCTGCACCGCCTGAGGGCGTGATCTTCCTCTCTTCTCTCTTCCCCGCTCGCCTCGGCCCGACCCATGGAGCACCTCCTGGCGTGCCGCGGGATGCCTCGGCCGTACGGCTGCCGGGCGTCGGGAACAGGAGGCGCGGGACTCGGCGAGAGCTGAGTGCAGCTCCTCAAGGAGCTCGCTGCTCTGACTCATTGAGGGTGCCCCAGCACGCCTCTTGCACTAACAACATAATACGGGGTTGCCCCCACCGAAGCAAGATGATCCTAGCTGTTGGTGTTGGAGGTAATATTTCGGTCACCTAGGAAGCCCGATGTTATTACATATCACAATTACCGAGATCGGGATCATCCTCCCTCGGTGGAGGCACACCGCCGATATCGGTGTTGATGTCATGTTCTAGGCCTCCGACTCTTGGACTCTTGGCCAGGCCCTGGTGGCGGCCTTCGCCCATCATGGCGGCACCCGCACGGATGCGCACGTTCGTGAAGACGCCCAAGCCGCCCCCGTGAGCGTCCCAGCATGGCCAGCGCACCCTCCTGGGACTTCTGTGCCAGGCCCGGCAATGCCGCTCCTGACGCTGATAGGTGGTACCGATCCTCCTGCCGACGTCTGCTGCCGCAGCGTCGACAGCAGTAGTGTGCCAGGCCATAATCGAGGACAGAAAGGAAGAGGACGGCCAGAAGGGCGTCGCGCTGGACCATGTCGACAGCATCGTACTGCAGCGCCCGGAGCTGGGGCCCGCCTGCTGCGGGAGGAGCCAGACGGAGGAGGCGAAGGAATGCGGCAGCGTGAAGAAGCCGAGGGCATCGCTTTCGAGAGCTGGCGATGGCCGAGGCGATGGCCGCAGGTTGTTAAACCCAGGTGGCCTCCGCAGGGGATCGACCGGGTTCTCGCGGAGCTCGCGGCTGAGCCTGGCAGAGAACCCCAGGGCAGGTAAGGCAATCCCGCCATTCCAAATTCATGTGTGCTTGTTTGAATTATGTGTGCTTGTTTGAACACGTTCCAAGGTCCGTTGTGCTTACTCAGTGGTATACTTCGTGACGCTCTCACGTGATGATGATCCATGATTCTTCCGGTGGGAGGATGCTTGAGCAGATTCCAATGGAAAGCCACCTTCGCGCATCCAATGCGTTGCTCCTGGCTGTCTCCAATGGAGCGCCCTCTTTTCGCAACTCTTCCAAAGGTGCGTCTTGTGATGTCCCGTTTTGTGGGCCTTCGAACGTGTCGAGACGATTCTAGCCGCAACGCATCCTTGGATCTACCACATGCTGTCCCAGATTTGCTCTGGCCAGTCCGCCCCCCGTCCCCTCTCCTGCCACCTGTCCCCGCCCGACGGGCGGGGCACCGGCAGGCTGTGGGCTCACGGCGGGGTGCCCCTCCTCGCTCCGAGGGGCTGCGGTCTGGTCGGGCGTGTCCCCCTACAGGCGGGTTTTCGAAGAACAATATAACAGATTCGAAAGATACCAAACTGGACTCGAAGTGTCAAAAACACAAGAAAACTCGTCCCCAGACTATTTTTAGACTATCTCTGAATTTTCCCCCTGTAGAGGAACACGCCCGACTGAAGGCTGCGGTCGGAATAACAGAGAGGAAAACAATTATCGTGTTTGGGAGGAAGGGGTCGGGAGGATGAAGGGCATGAACAATGGCGTCCGGATGCAATGAATGATGCCTTCGGCCGCCTGCGGACAAGAAAATCCTCATTCCTCCTGGCTCCATCCTCCCCAACCCTAACAGATGTCTTCCTGCAAGAGATGCGTTCGTTGCCCTGGCCCACGGGCCGTGGGTCACCTGGTCGCTCGCACACAGGCTGCTGGCATGCCTTTGTCCTCCGCCCCTTCCCTCCTTCTGCCGCTGCCCCTCCGCATCCTCAGCGGGCTCATCATTATTGTGCTGCGTCTGTTCGTCCTCCCCCTCCCGCTGCTGCTCTTCCTATCCTCCTCCCTCTGCGTTTTCTTCCTGCTCTTCTTCGTGCGTTTTCTTCCGTCAGCATGTCTTAGGGAATTGGCCAAACCCTGCAATCCAGGGAGTATTTCCAGGAGGCAGCTTGAATTCTTGGGCCGATTGAATCGGGGCCTGCGGCTCAAGGATGTAGTCCAAAGATGTTGCAGTATGTATGAGTACGTCACTGGTCACATTCCCATTATCATTCCCATTCCTCGTCCTTTTCCCCTCCCTCCTCGCGTCCCGCAGACAATCCACACTGGCCTCAACAAGTCCCCAGGGTTAGTCGAGGGCTGTCTCAACACCCCAAGCTCGAGACGTACAGCGCCCAGGGGGAGCCACCGGAAGCGGCGCGAGGGAGGCCTCCGGTGGCTCCCCAGAGTGCTGCAACCTGGGGACCTATACGGCCCCCGAGAACCTTTTCGGCCTGGGGGATAATGTACCCTGGGGACCCTTTCGGCCTCTGGGGGCCCTTGCCGAGCCCCGGGACCGTCAAAAAACGACTCAGGATGAAAAACATGTGCTGGGGAATGGGTCGGGACCTTTGGGGGTCGATGGCCTAAAGTCAAGCGTCGCGCGTCTGATGCACACAACTAGCTTGCCAAATGCAGAGCCTTGTGCTCACGCTCAACATGGCATCTAAGCGAAATTGCCTTCAAAGTTATACGACCCCTCGCCAGCATCAGACACAGTACACCAAGACATAAGAATGGGACTCCTCTGTGGCCACTGGCCCGTGCATTTGATGATGTCGTTTGCAATGTTGTTTCAACAGTCAGAAGAATCATGACGTCGTGGTCTCGGGAAGCCCGCTCGGACCAACTCCTAGGGCTGCCGATGAAACATGCCAAGCCTTTGAGCACCGCTGGAATGATGGATGTCCCCACTGGCGGAGCCTGGGCCCCACTGGCCTGTTAACCCCCCTAGATGGAGACACAGGCTGTGCCATTCGGGTTTCGAAGGGCCTATCCCAGACTGGGGTGGTGGGATGGTGGGGCTGCGATGCCATGGCCTGGTGGGGATGGGGATGGGCTTACCGATGCTGAGCCTTGACACCTTCTCCTCCTGCTCGGACGCTCAATCGCTCAAATGCAAGGGTCAAGAGGGCATACGCCACGAAACCCCAAAATATGATGCCCAAGCGTTCCTCCTCCTCCTCCTCTTCCTCCTCCTCCTCTTTTTACCGATGCATCGGCACGCTCGTCTGACCGCTCAACATCTAGGCCTCGTCTGAGCATTATGTAATGCTTGCCGAGGCCTTGCTCTCTCCTTCCCTCCCTCAGGGAGGAAACCTGTTTTGAGTCTGTTGAAGGACTTTAACCCATGCTCCCCAGGGCTTCTGCACGGGGGCCGAAAGACTCTTCAATTGCTTCGAGGAATAGGCCCCGCAAGTGTTGCAGGCCACATCAAGATTTTTCGGATTCCAAAACTCTGTTCCGTGTCAAGGCCAACAACTCATGCGGCACCTGCCCTCGAACCTCGAGCTTCCTCGAGGCCTCTATCGCACGGAACACGACTGACCCTGCGCACTCATTCTGTGCAAGTTCTGAGACACGGCGCAGGCGACACCAGCGGCCTCCGTCAGGGTCGCACCAGTCATGCCCGATAATCGCTCGCACGGGCCGAGCCAGGCCAGACGACTCGCCGGGCCGAATCGGTCGAGCAGAATGCCGAAAAGCGACGCCATCACGAGTATCGATCGACGCCCCAACGGCGCCGACCCAATGCGCAACGCGCTCCAGTAGCGCATGAGACTTCAGTCGGAGCATTCTAACAGCGCTAGGAATTCTGACTCGCAGTTTGCAGCTTGCCACGTTTGTCCCGCAGCGAAATGCGCCCCGACGCTACGGCCTAGAAAGGCAGATGCGATTTTAATCTTTCGCACCACCAAGCCGGTCGCACCGAGACCTCCAAACTCTCTTAACAAATTCCAGAACCTGCGCCACAGAGAGGCCCAAGAACTGAAATGCGCAGTGGTCCGCTCGGGGCCTCTTTCGTGCACCCCTTCGGACATGTTACAACTGTCGGCGATGGCCTCAACCGGAGGAACCGCCACCTGAAGAAGTTGAACCAACGCAGACAATTCAGCTCCATCTGTGTCCGGCTCGGGACCAGGGCACGAGCAAGTCACCGCGTCCTGGATTCCGAGCGAATCCCGCGCGAGCGTGACGATGGCCCACCCCGCGGATCCCTCCGCCCAGCCCCCCATCGCAAACCGAACCATCAAGGTACTTGCGGAGCTTGAACCATACCAAGGCCCGAATGGCAGGGCCGTGCAATCTGCTGATCAGCGGGCGGCCTCCGCCCTTCAGGCACCCTGGTGCGAGCCCACAGACATATTGAGACGAGGCTCGACGGCAGGCCCATCAGCCCGACCCATCAGCACATGACACTCGGCGGGCGCAGGCGAGCGCTGATCAGAACCATCAAAGATGCAGATTTATCAGCGCCCCGACCGGCTCACGCAACAGGAGCACGTTGTCACGAGTGCACCCAGCCGCAGACATCTTCGGCATCGGCCGCTGCCCGTTCACGATGACAGAACGAAGGTACCCACGCTGGGCACCTGCCAACTGCCGCAGATTCTTACGCTCATTCGAAGAACACCTCCCCGAATCGAACAGCGACACGAGCGGGCCCCAGACAGCGCCTTTCGCCAGATGCCCCAAGGAGCCGCCCAGAGAAACATACGCCAACTGCCAAGTTGAAACCGTCCTCTCCAGAATCTGCGTAACGTACCACGGACAGACCTCTCCACATCAATCACATGACCTTCATGCGTGAGCCACTTGAACGGGTCGATCACCGTCTAGCCCACGCGCTCCAGAGCCAGTTTCGCGGCTCCACAGGGCCTCTGAAACTTGGTCCAATGCTTAATCCCAAGGCAATCATCCACAGAAGCCCCCAGAGCACGAGCAGGCACCAAAGACTCCCACAACGCCCTCCCGAAAGCGACGATCGGAAGTAGAATAGCCCGATACGACGGATCTATCTTGCCATGACACACGAAAGCAAGCGTCCGACCCTAACCCGCCGTTCTCGGTTCAATCGCAGCACATGCCAGAGACCGCGCAGACTCCAGCCCGCCCCAATGACAACCTGTGGCCGACATGCAATACGAGAAACTCGCCCCGACTCCTGCCCGAGCACTGCGAGCTGCAGCATGCCGTTTCTTCGGATATGTCCTAAACTTCTCCGTCCCCCCCATCTCCCTTCGAGCTTGTCTCGCGATCCAATGCCGAACCCCGCTTGTCAATGCGACGACCTGCCGCGCGATCAAGACCAATGTTCCGCTCGTGCCCGACCGCCCGGGCCCCCGTCTGACCGAGCGACATCGCGGCGATCAAAGGCCTGGCCTCGCGATCGTTCGAGAGAACGCGCGTCTTGTCCGAGTGTGGCGCCATGCAGGCCACGTTCCAGGAGGCACTTCTGCAAGTCCCTAATAGCCTGCGCGCGCTGCAGACGCGCTCGGTCTCTACCTCCAGACCGCTGCAACAAGATATCATCCACCGCAACCATCGGCACGGCGGCCCTGCGCGCGCGATGCACTTTATCCACGGGAAGGACGAGCGCGAGCTTGAGCAACGTTGTCGCCCGCCCGCCCCCTGAGATGTTTTTATTATGTCGCGATCCCCTCAGCCACCGCAGAGCCCAACGCGAGGTGCCTCTGAGCCCTGTAAGGATCCACTTGGGGCCGAAGTGGCCAAACAGGAAACCTAGCGGCCATGGCGGCCCGCAGAGCCAATGATGTTGCACCTGTTAAACGTCTTCAAGAGGTCCACGAGAACCTGAGCAGAGCACCGGATCCCACGTGGAGCTTTCCAAAACTAACCGGTGGCCCACTCGAGCCACTGCTGGGCCACGGTGGCCCAGCAGTTCGCTGACGCAGAGCCCGATCACGGGACCTCCCAGTGCGCGCTCCGGAATAGGCGCGCTGATTCTCCTCCTCTAAAGAAACCGTAATAGGCCTCCTGAGACGCGCCTGCGCTCTCGACGCAACATATAGCAGGGCAACAGGATGCAGGATGAACACTCCCCAATCGCTTCTGCAGAAAGGCAATCTTGGCCCAGGACTTGGGCCAACGTGCCAACGGCCCAATCGACACGGTCAAATCAATGGAGGACTCGAGACCGTCGACATCCAACTCCAATAATTGAAGAGGCATAAGCGGTCGAAGCCCGCGCCCGATGTCTGCTTGGACGTCGTCGAGATCTGGCGCAGCTGCTCCGCAATCGGCCTGGGCGGCCTTTTCGCCCAGTCTGCGGGCCGGCTCGCGCGCTCGCGCCGCCCCCCCACCTTCCACCACCTGGGCCATTCCTCCCGCGCTAGATCCATCTCGCGCTGTCCATGGACAGAAAGACGCGGTCGCTCACGACCAGGGGCGCAGAGGACCCAGGGGGCCTTTTCACCGAGGATAGCGAACAACCCGCCAGCGCCAGAGCCCGCTAGGGCCGCCACCCACGCGCGAGAGTCACTGCGACGGTGCGTCACATCTACTTCGGCAAGTTGCGAGGCACGAGCCTTCACGCTACTCGCAAATAATTTCAGCGCCTCAATCTCCCAGAGCCTCGATCGGAATTAGAGACAGAAGACTCCGCCATCACCCGACATTCCCATCGGGAACATCAGCGACCGCGACATGCGCCATCTCGAGGAGTCTGCGCACAGCCCCGAGGGCATTGACGCGAGTCAAAGGCTGGGTCCAGCACGCTGCGAAACTAAGCGAAGGACCCAAGCTGCGAAGCCGCAGTGCAGCCGGCGAGACGCGAGGAACCTTTGGCGGCAGCTTCGGCATGAACTCAACCGTCCTGGGCACGACACACATGTCCCACGACCGCACATATTGCCAGCATCCTGTCGTGGTATCTAAAAAACATTGACCCACTGCTTCTCAACTGCATCAACGAAGCCATGCCACGTGCGCGTTAGTTGCCCCTGCGACGCCGCGCTCTGCGGCATCGAGGCACGCACTTGAACCAGCATGGTACCGCAGCTAGACCGAACACAACGTGCGGGCCGAACATGAGGAAAGAGACGAGGAACTGGCATGACCCGCATCTCAGGTTTCGCCACAACCGAGGACATCTCCGGACACGCTGCAACGTGCGGACTGAGTTGCACCTCAGGTCGGACCGCGGAACAACTGGCCTGCAAACCGTCAGACACCAAAGTGCTATCACGAGTCCGCCCTGCAGGGGCGCGCGCGCCGACGGGGGGGGCCGCGATGACTGCGTCGAACCAGTCCATGACTCCAGCGCGCTCCAGATTAGAAGTTGCACTGTTGGACTCACCTGCCACAGCGCAAGGCCTTCCAATCTTGCGAACGCATTCCGCCGCGAGAAACAGCACCTCCAGATTTGATGCCGCCCTTCCGATCTTGTCGACGAGATACATATTGACCATAACCACACCTGCAGCAAAACAGCCCGAATGTAACAACACGTCGCTCTGCCAGGAACGCCGCGCAATCAACGCCATCAGTCGCGCCCATTCCAAACTGCTGCGAGCAACCCGCCACTGCCACTCCCCCGCCGCCCTGCGATACAACCAAACGCATATGTGAAGAGGCAGTTTCCTCCCAGTCCTGAGACGCGCTGGCTCCTCCGCACATGCACGCGGCGAGAGGTGGGTTTCCTGAATCATACTGGCGCCAGCATCCTCCAACAAGAGCTTGCGAGCATCAGAATCATGCGTCGCCAACATGTCACTAAAAGCCGAGTGCACATTGACGGTCGTAATGGACGCAGCGTCCTTGGTGGCAGCTTCCTGATGAATTCGCAAGGGACAAGAGCAAGAGACATATTGAATTCGTCAGGGGCACGTCGCGTTCTCCGATGACTCGACCTTCTTGGTGGCAGCCTCCTGCAGGTCACTGATGAACGCCCGTCGGTCACCTGGGGCCATCGGCACCCTGCGGCAAAGACACCGCCGAGCCCCATCCGGCATCCGTGAGAGGCCTAGGCCCTTCCACAGGACAAGCCGCCGCAGTCGCTCCCGCGCCGGATGTGAGATCCACCCCCTCGTCGGGAGCTGGCGCCCCAGCGGCCGCGCCGCCCGCGGCTGCCGCTGCCACCGCCGCAGGGTGCGCCGCGCCGCTGGCACCCGCGCGATGGGCCGCGAGCGTTTGCAGCAGCGCCGTGAGCGGAGCAGCCAAGGCCGCGCCGACCTGCACCCCCCCGCCAGGATGTGACGCGAGGACATGGGCCACGTTAGACGCCGCGGAGACAGCGCAGCCGGCTGCCGCGCCGCCTTGGCCTTGGCCTCCTCTACCAACTGCTTGAACTCGGCGTCGAAGTCGTGCAGCTTGGAGCGCGACGTCGCGAACTGCTCCGCCGCCTCCTGCGCAGCCGTGGGAGCCCGCTCGAACGCCGACTTGGCCTTCTGCAGCCCCACCGCCTTCGCATCGATTGCCTGCTGCGCATCCTTGACCTCCTGCGCCGACACGGGGCCCTCGATCCCATGCGCACGTTTCCGCCGCATGTGCTTAAGCTAAATGTTATCGATCAGACTGTGACAACACAGCTGCGGCCGCATCGAACTGCTCATCAGACACGTCCATCCACACACGTGCTTGCGACACATCAAACTGCTGAGCTGCTGCACCTCATCCGCTGGTTCCCTTACTCTTACCACCGGCCTTGCGACGGGGCCCGTCAGAGCACACAGGAGGAGGAGGATTAGCCTATACACCACGAGGGACCTGCCAGGGTGGCACAACAGTGGGCACAACTGCGGCCCCTTCGGTCCCTGTCCATTGGAACATGATTGCCTGCACCTTGCGCGAAACCCACAGCTGTGGTATCCGCGCGTAGCACAAGACCACCCTGACATCGCACGCGAGCGGCACCAGAGCCTGGCGGCACGGGCGCTGGACGGGAAGGGCAGGGAAAAAGGTGGGGGCCGCCGATTCCCCTCGCCACTAAGGCCGTGTCCTAAGCCGATGGCTACGGACTTGATCCAAAATGGCTACGGACCTCCTCTCCTCCTCCTCCTCCTCCTCCTTTTCCTCTACCTCCCCCTCCCATTCAATGCCCTGTCCGGGTCCTCCCCCCCCGTAACCTTCATGTAGACAGTATAGCCCGCGTTGTACGGGCTGGTCATCTGCACGCGGGGAGCGCGGGGCGCCAGATGAGGAGGGGAATATATATATATATATATATATATACACATATGTATATATATATATATATACATATATACATATGTGTATATATATATATATGTATATATATATGCATACATATATACATATAAGAAAAGAGACGAGTGTCAACCACACGAGCGCACATGCCGTGGCCTCACGTGGCGCCGCAATACCGCTTCGCAGCTGTCCGCCAGCATGTGGCGGACATCGCGCTGCCTTGCCAGAGCAGCAGCATGGCTCGCCCAACGCAGCGCAACAAACTGCACTCATATTCAGAAACATGGCCACACCGCACACGAATCAATTTACCGCGGAGTGAGAAAATGTAGCAGTATGAAAGAAACGGCAACCACCGTCCATCCATGTGGCGGGTGGAATTTCGAGCCCCACGACCATGAATAATGAGGAACTCCCTAGTGGAGCGACTCGACTACCCTAGCGAGACTGGTGCGACGATGAGGTTTTCATATAGAACGAATAAGGATGGAACCGGGATGGGGGAAGGAGGATCAGACATGACGATGAGCAGGGGAAAAGGCAATGAGGAGACACATTTCTCGACATGGAAGCCGACATTAACCAGCAGTGCAATCGCTCGGGCGGTCAGCGCCCTCGTCCTCCAAACTCTGGAATGCGTCGACAATTCCCTGTTGCCTCTCGACCGGCTGCTGACAAAGAAGGGAAAACTGACCACTATCACCTCGGGGGTGCAAGACTCGCTGCTCTCCAGGGAGACAAGATCAAAGAATACAGGAAAACAGAAAACACCAACACCACTCCGGACCTCTGTCAGGCCCTCCTTGGGGAAACAAGCAATGACCGATACCGCTACTCCGCGGACCATTCCTGGGTGCATTCTGACCAGAGCTCCTAGGCAAATCCAACCGTGGCGACGAAGGCCCTGCTGGAGGCCCCAAAAAACGAAAACGAGGCAAGGGTGGCAACATTGGTACCTATTCCACCGCTGCCACTGAGCTCTCTACGGCGCTCCCCCGGGCGGTGGTGGCAGTCGTCCCTCCCCGTCTGAAGCATGGCATGGACCGGCTGGCGGCCGCAGCGGCCGACCGAGGCGTCGGGAGGAGCGGGCGCATTCGTCCGCTTCCCGCCCAGGCGCTCGGCGAGGGCCGCAAGCGAGGCCGCCGGCGCCCCCCCCGCGGCGCGAGACGTTCAGCAGGGGTGCCCTTGGGGCGCTTCTGCCCGCGAGCGGGCCGTGGTCAGCTCGCCGGGCGCGCCGCACGCGATGCGGCACATGTGCGCAGCCTCGGAGTCGAAGGGCACCAGCAAGCTGTCCGCTGGCAGGCTCGACTGGCTCTCCTTGTGTTCGTCGTCGTCGTCGTCGTCGTCGTCGTCGTCGTCGTCGTCGTCGTCGTCGTCTTCGTGGTCGAGGTCATCGTCGTCGTCGCTGTCGTGAACGCGGTCGTCGAATCCGACGTAGAACAAAGGAAAACAAGGAGGAGAAGGAGGAAGAGGAGGAGGAACGACAGTACTAACGCTTTAGGCATCGGCCCTAAGCCCGCGCAGCGTCAAAGATGAGAAGCGACGGTGGCCTCAGCGAAATCCTGTCGACTGCAGGCGGCGCAAAGTGCGCGGCACGGGGCAGTTCAGAATCAGAATTGACGCGGCCGAAGGCAATCTTCATTAATTTTCAGGAACCTACGGCGCGTGGCGTAGCAGCACCTGTTGACAAAGTAGCGGTTCAGTTCCAAGCAGAAGCAGTCCGCTGGCACGAGCCTCTTGACAATCAACATGAGGGAATTGTCGGCTGGCTCTGGGTCGTCGTGCTCACCGATGCAGGCGCGGAGCGAAGGATCCGAAAGCAGATGGGCACGTGCACGAACGAGATGGTGAAGGAGCCGTGGGCACTTCAGGTAGTGGCCGATACTGGCATGCTCTTCTTGGCAGCCCAAGATGCACGTGGACCTTCCAGGCGAAACGAGCATCCAACGGGAAATGCGCCAGCCGCCTGCAAGCGTGCGCAGCGTAATCTACCTCCAGGCAGTGGCAACTTTACGTGATCTCGGAGGATGCGCCAACGACGTTAAAGGAACCACGGAGGTACTCACACCCGAGACAAGTTCTCCAAACGCTTGGCAATCGTGATCGCAAACGAGTCTGGGTGCCAGCGGTAAGCGAGCTGGCGAATGATCATTCGTTGAGGTCTCGGGCGGCGACATTCAGCTACCGCAGTTCGCGTGGCTCGGACTGCAGCTTCAGCAGCGACAATAAGGTCAAGAAGACGCCATGGTGGAATCTGCGCACCCTCTGCACTCGTGATCTGGAAGTAGTGCTGGACGATCGCTGTCGGATCCTTCCAATAGGTGGGCGACCATCGGCCCATGGAAAATTCCATCGCGTCAGAGTGCCGCTCGGCTTTGTTGTTAAACTTGCGCCAGTTCGCGATGGCGCACGACGCGGCCCTCCCATGCACGCAGGCCGCGCAGGTCAGAAGCGACTGCGGCGCAGCGCCTGGCGCGCCACTGCTGAACGAGAGCATGTCCTGATCCCTGAAGGACTGGGTGGCTTGCGCAGGGATTGTGTGAAGCGTGGACATTCTGATGGATGGACTCCGGGAGCTCGTAGATCTGCAAAAAAACACCCAAGCGCCGTCATCGCAGATGTCTGATGCAAGCGCGCGTTCACATCGATGGGGACTCCAACTTCCGATTGCAAGGGTCTCGGTCGACGGCCTCAAAATCGTTCGCTCCGCTGGCGTTGACGACATCTGGAAAGGCCGAAGAGAAATAAGGGCACTTGAAAGAAGTGCAGCTGGCAAGCAGTCTGGCTGCGGCACATGCACCAGCGCAGGTTGCGGGGGGCACGGGGCCTGAATCTCCTGCCGCCCCCCAGGGAGAGGACAATCATATCGGCCAGCTCCTCTATCGCCTGTAAATCCTCGCAGAGGCACTCCATCAACTCTTCGCCATCTGCCGCGGCCAGATCACGGCCCAGACGCCCTGGCGCCCCCGGCAGAGCCGCGTTTTCGCAGGGGGCGCGTGGGCAGGATGCTGGTCGTCGTCATCACAGAGTCCTTGCAGGGCACCTTCTGTCACGACGTCTGCCCGGCTATGAGCGCCCTCGATCAGCGAGGACCTCTGAGTCTCAGAGGCCGGCCAAGCCGCGGCGCAAAAATCTGCGGCGAGTTCGCCGCGAATCTTCGCGCGGAGGTCGCCCCGTGCACGTTCCACCAGATGACCGCCTGCGGGCCGCGGCGTTGACCGCGCCATTCCGTTCGAGCATTCGAACGAGCCAGCGCGCTCGCCCTGGCAGTTGAGGCGCGGGGGCCATTGCTTCTAAACGTGCCAGATCGCACCCTGGAGCCGCGCGCAGCCATTGCAATCTGGACCCCCGATGCTCGGGGCCACCGCGGGGATCGGCTGGCAATCGCCTCCGCGCGCCCGCCCGCGGGCCAAGGCAACGGAGCCAACGTCGACGCTGCCGCCATGCTGGCCCAGAATAAAAGCGGGGTGCAGTCCCGGAAGAAGCGCGGCAGCATCATTCTCGATAATTCCCTGGCGAAGGCTGGCAGCGGCAGCAACGGCGCGAAGACCAGCGCGCAAGAAATTAGCAATGAGGAGGCCCCCATCGTCGGACTCAACGGGATCGGCTCGCAGGGCCGCGCGGAAGGTTGAACGCCTTGGGATTCTGCAGCGCAGGCGGGGCGCGCTCTCGAGGCCGCGGCTCTGAGCGCGGCGGGCAACGAGGATCGCGGAGTCGCGACGCGGGCAGGGGCAGCCTCGTAGGATTCGGCATGCTTCGGGCCTCCACGCGCCTCCGTCGCGAGACGCCATCATGCGAAGTCCAGTTGCTCGGAGCCAGTCCGCTGGGCGCAGATTCCACGAGGGCCCCGAGAGTCGGGCGCGCGCCCGCGCCTCCTCGCCAATGGCCGAGGCCCTCAGCCAGAATGCGTCTGCCAAGCGAGCCGGAGGCGCAATCCCCCTACAGTCTGCGCAACAATGTTGGAAACGCAACGTCGCACTTGCCAAATGGGTTCATGCGCGCACAGATCAAAGACAGCCCCAATCAGTCATGTCGCGCAGTGCACGCGCGCCGAGCCGATGTGGGCCAAAACTGTGCTGAACTTCTGCGGCGCTTGGATCGCACCTGGGCGGCGGCCCCCCGCTCTCGAACCACTTCGAGACTGTCTTACCCCTGACTAACGACTGCTGTGGGTGAGGGCCGGATGGGTTTCGATATCTCCACGAATAGTAACGTGCACACTGGGCGGCCACCCATGGCGGTCGCGAAACCCTCGGCGCCGAGAACATCCGCGCGTCGCGCAGGGTCTCACAACGCCACGAAACCTAGGCGCCGAGCGAACCCGCGCGTTTCACCAGGTCCCACAGTGCCACGAAACCTTCGGCGCCGAACACATGCGCGCGTCTCGCAGGAGTTCCATAAAGCCACGAAACGTTCGGCGCCAAGCACATCCGCGCGCGTCGCGCGGACTCGCAGTGCCACGAAAGCAATGGCGCCGGGCGCATCCACGCCCTTCGCGGGGTCTCTAAGTGCCACGAAACCCTTGGAACCGAGCGCATGCGCGCGTCTCACAGGGTATCAAAACTGCACGAAACGCTCGGCGCCGAGCGCATCTCAAATGATCCCACAATGCCACGAAACCTCAGCGCCGAGCCACCCCCGCATCTCGCAAGGTCTCAAAATGCCGCGTAGAGTCTTGGCGCCGAACGCATCCGCCCGTCTCAGAGGGTCTCACAATTTTACGAAACCCTCGGCGCGGAGATCATCGTCGCCTCTCCCAAGATCCCCATCGCGGGCTCCGAACCCCATCGGGTCGCAGGGCCAATCCATGATTGGCCAAATGGGTGTTGTCCTCAGCCTCAAATGGACGCTGACCGCGTTCGGGGAGGTAGCGCGCCGCGAAGGGAGCCTGGGAAGGTCAGCAGCCTGGCCGCAGAACTTCCCGCCCATCGAGAGACGCGTCATTTTTCATGCAGCATCCTGAAATTATAGCCAGTGCGGCGGCGAGAGCACCACTCCGACGTCAACGCGCAAGCACGCAATAACGTAAGCACGCAATCGTGCGCCATGCAGGAGTTGCGACGCCGGGCAAGCAGAACGCAGAACCACCCACTGGAACCCTGATGGCGGTGCTGCAGAGAGCGCGGCCGCGACGCGAGCGCGGGATCCACTGCCAATCGTTCACTCTTGGACCGCAATAGGACATCGCCCATCGACGTGGTGTTGGGGCGCCAAAGGCTACCAATGCCACTCGCGCCCTGATGGAAGCGCCAGAAAAAAAAAGAAGAAGAAGAAGAAGAAAAAAAAACAAAAAAAAAAAAAAAAAAAAAAAAACGCGGCCCCGAAGCGAGCGTGGGACCCATGTCCAAAAAAATCCTTTTGGACGGTAAACCGAGGCTCGATGAGATGCGGCGCGCCAAGAAACATCGCGTCTCTGGCGGGCGTCTGCCCATCGTATTCTTGGGCGCGCAGCTGCTGCTCAGTGGGCCATGCTCAACGCGGCCAGGAAGCATGCGCGGCTCAATGCTCAATGAGGAAGCGCGGAAGGGGGCGCGCGCTGAAGGGGGGGCGCGCTGCATCAGGCTGGCATCGACCGACGCACCGATCGCATTTCCACCTTCTTTGCCGCGCCCAATTAGCCCGTCTCCGCCATAATCATCGGCGCACATATCACCGCGAGAAGGCGAGCCAGCATGACCAGGAACGGGAAGACCATCGTCGTCGCCAACGCTCAACAGTGCCTCCTCCGCCACGCTGCCGCCAATTATCCCCGAGGGATCGGGTTCGTCTCCCGCGCCGACGGCAGCGGCCTCAAGTGGACGACGGGAGGCAGGCCGGCGAATGTCATGATCAGACGCCTCAGAGCCCTCATCGCCATTCCCGTTCCAACGACGAAGATCATTTCCTTCAGCGAGTTAAATCACTGGCAGGCGCAGGCAGCGAGGGCGGGAAGCTGGCGGGAACGTCTGTCCCATCTCCGGCGCCGCCCGACTGGGGCCCGAAGAGAAAACAATCTGCCATCTCTCACTCTCATTGCCAGGCCAAGCTCGCGTCAGCTGTTGCTGCGGGCGCTCGCGCCCCTCCGCGGACGAGTGCCGCGCCTCCTCGCGCAGGTCCCACGCGAGCTTTTCGCTCGGCAAACCGCGCAGCACTGGACAAGCGCTGACTGGCCCCTCGACGAGGACCTCCTGACGAAGAACAGCGATGGTATACTGCGTATACCATCGCATCAGAAGTCGGACCACGCGCGGCAAGCGAGAGCGCTGCGAGAAGCCATCCTCGCGCTCACCCGCTCGCGCGCGGCAGCAACACCTGCTTTGCGTGGCAAGTGCGCCTCG